TTTTTTTTACATACTTTATTTTTAAAAGCCTGAATCATCTAAAATAGAAGAGATAAAACGGGGTTATTAGAAGTTTGATGTCAGTGGGCTATATACATTCTGTATGGTGTAGTTAGTGGTTTTTAGAAGTTACTATGACCTACTGTAGATCCACAGTTCCCAACCCTTGGCAGCGGTCCCTGGTGCAGCCTTCACTAACATTACTGACTGAATGGACTTCTTCGTACAGGCTGCTCTTTATCCTAGTGTTCTCACAGGAGGAGCAGCCTAGGGAGCTGCTCCCTGCTACAGAAAAGGTTGAAACACAGATCCCAGATCCTGGGAGCCATATGGTGAAAATAATATAATTCCTGCTGCTCAGTGATGACAGTAGTGGCAAGGGCTCCATTTGTTCGTGAGTCACTACTTAAAAATGTGAAATACACAAGAAACTAAGAGCTTTCTTGATCCACCCATCCTTTCTTTGCCTACATGGAATTTTCTGAAGACCCCAAAGAAACAGAAGGCCAGTGCAAGACTTTTTAGTTTATGCTCAACAATCACTGTAGTCTAAAGAATGTCTTCTGCTGTTTTTAAAGTATACAAAATGTCTCATTTGTGCAAGTCTTACATCCATTTGACATTTTCTTGTAGTGCCTTAAGGTAATTAAATTAGTCTGGATGCTGTTGAAAGAACTGGAGTGTTTTGCTGAGAGCTTTTTACTGAAACCTTTTCTTCTGAAATTTTGCAACTAACATACAGTAGCTGTCTTAAGTAGAACCAGGTGAAGACTGACTCTGTGATGTGTTCCTTCAGGGAACACGCTTCACATACAGCAGTGCTTTCCCACAAAATAGAATAGACTTTGCATTTCGCCATTATATTAATCAGCTCAATAATTTTAACAGAAATACCATCTCTTCAGTTATACTGACACATTGCTCATATCAAAACAATAACCTTGCTAAATGAAATCATTTGTCTGCATTATGTACACGATGCCTACGTAGAAACAAATTTCAAACTCAAATTGCAGAGACCCTGTCTAATCAGCACTCATTGAAATGACGTGTCCATTGTTTCAGGTGTGCAACAGCAACAGAAACTGCCACTGTAATGCAGGCTGGGCTCCTCCATTCTGTGACAAGCCTGGTCTGGGAGGCAGTATAGACAGTGGGCCTGTCCAGTACTACAGTAAGTCCACAGCGCGCTTCTCCAGTTCCTTGTAACATAGCATACTGGTACTGTTCAGAAATAACCCCTCACTTTCTCTACCAATAAATATGTCCTTATTATTTTACCTTTAATTTGACAGACTAGACTCTGGTTTTTCCTCCATCCTGAACAGGATAAAACAGGGTCATCTGGCAAAAAAGTAAGAAATTGAATGGAAGGATAATGTTATTGCGTTATTGCTTGTAATAGCAATGTAAAAAAATCACAAGCTGTGGATTTGCCTTGAAATATGAGTATTTTTAAGAAGACGAGGCTGCCAAAGAACGCGGTGCTCGACGCCATCAAAACAGACACTGGCTTAGGAATAGAACAGCTGAAAGAGAAAGTCCAAGACCGGAAAGCGTGGCGAGAGATGGCCTATAGAATCGCCGATAGTCGGATCGGACAGACCGGATAATATCATCATCATCATCATGAGTATTTTTACAGAGAAAATAGAGGCTATTTTTGCATTACTAGCAGGTGATTAAGACATACAGTAAGTGAATTCACTGAAACATGGTTGAATCAGAGTGCATGGAAGAGGTGTTGCATTCTTAGATGGTAAATGCCTGCACTGGTACCATCAGCTTAGGGTTCGCAATGACAGTTTATAATGCATCAAAAAGCTATTAGCACAAAATTGTTTAATCTTAGTTTTGTTAATAAGTGTTATTAATTATTATGAATCCGTTACTACTAGTTTTTTAATGCCCTATTCATCTATTACTGGTTATAAATCATTTCTACTGTAAATGGAATCTACAGCCTATAATCTACAGTGTTGCCTGTAAGTCAATGCAGTATCAATGGCTTTTCAATGTGTTGTGAAGAAGTGCTGCTGTTTTCGACAGAACTGGTAAATATTTAGTAACAGATTAAGCAAAGTCCCTGGAGGTAGGGCAACATACAGAAGCTATCAATCTTTTTATAGGCGGGTTCCGGGAAAGCAGAATGCAGCCAAAAAGTTGAAGACAAGTGCCCTCTATTTCTGACACAAGGCAAACAAAATAAAGCTTGTCTGCTCTTTGAGCTTCTGGCTAACACATGTCTTTAGTTACCACTCATAAGCTGGAAGCTCACAAAATATGTCTCTTCCCAATATCAAGAACTCACAGTCCCATGCAGGGCACTTCCTCTGTCCTCTTCTCTCTCTTTGTCTCAGGAAGCCTCAGCTTCCTGGTATTAAACCATCACCTGACCAGTCACCTTCCAACGACTGGTCAGGTGACTGAGGGTGACAAGACACCCACCACAGCTGCCTGGAGAATGCAGTTCAGGGCAGAGCTCTTACCCTGTCTGAACATGCCTTTCTCACAATTGGTATTTCAGTCCACTGCAAGCCGCCTGTAGTAAAGTGAGGAAGATATTTATAGTTCTAAGTCTCTATAAATACAGATATTTATAGTTCTAAGTCTCTATAAATACAGTAGTGCCTTTTCCAATGCGGCGGTACAGGAATGTGTCGGGCTTGTTTTTCCAGGTCAGCATGGACTTGTGGCGGGTCTGCTCTTTGCCTTCCTTGTGGTCTTACCTGGAGTGCTGACAGCCTTTTACTGCTACAAAATCAAGACATCCCCCTATCATAAGTGGCGTTCTCGGAGAGCGAGGGGCACTAATGATAGCAGGTACTGTAGTAGTTTACAATTGGCATCCTGCTGTACCTTGTTGAGGTACTGAGATCTATCTCCATGTGGCATATGGTAAAATGAACAAGAAATCTCAATTCAGACACTTTCTTCTTTTTGGAGGGCTTTAAGCAAAAGCTGAACGGGAAGCCCCCACAGTTCCTTTCTTTACTTAATCTCTCCTGATTCACTTGGCCAGAAGTGTACTGGGAATGCTGATACCATAATGTTCTTCACTTCTACTCTTTTAAAGTTTTTGTGTATTTACTCCGCAAGCACTGCCAGCTCTCCACGAAGGGCACTTCTAATGCAAACCATCCCTTAGCAGTTCTACAGAGAAAGAAGATACTGTAAGTGTTCAAAACCATTAAAGGCATTGACAAAGACAACCCAATGAACATCATCCCAAAAAATAGTGAATCACGAATAAGACGGCATAAGTAGAAACTGTATGGATGGTGCATTTAAAACTTATTTACCCAAAGGGTTGTGGAAGAATGGGAAAAGCTACCACATGATGTTGAAACTGATACCCTGGCTTCTTTTAAGACACAGTTGGATGATATCCTTGGGTCAGTTAATACTAACTACCAGACAAGCTTGATGGGCCAAATGGCCTCCTCTTCTATGTGTGTTTTTATTGCGAAACATATTATGCAAAGATGGAACATTTCTGAAACATATGCATGATAAGTTTGGCACTTGAACAATGATGTTTCTCATTCTGTACCAACACTGGGCCTCGGATGTCAAGGAGGGACCTCTTACAGTGAGAAACGTAGCTGTTGTATCCAGTGACCCTTGGCATGTCATCTGGAGAAATCGTGTCCTTTGGGTGATTTGACTAACCCAGAATCTACCAAATAACCTACAACCAGAGTGAGACTGAAACCCTCACCTGCAGATGCAAATTGTTTTAGACAAAGTCAATTCGTTTCTTTCACACTGTGGCATTTTGCCACTTAATGGCGGATCCACAGGGATGGGTGGACAACTTAAATTTACTTTACCGTTTCACTATCAGGAAGAAGGATGTGTCTGATGAGAAGATAAAAAACGGACACTTCAGCCACCCATTCCATCTGAAGGTGATGGGGTCATCTGGCAAAACAAGCAATTCAAAGAAGGTCAGTCTGTCCTCTACCCACCTTGTAGTCCCACATGTTCAATATTTTTGCGTTTGGTCAATGGGAGGAGATTGAACTGTAATTAACAGAAGGTGGTACAAAGAATGAGAGTTTCAAACTACGAAATCAATGGTTATTTACATTGGAACTAAAAATTACAGGGCTGAATCTGACTCGCACATTGCACAACCACTTAAGAGAAAATGGATGTCAATTCAAACAGGCCTCTTTGTACATCTGCTGGAATCTCTGTTATTGTACTTACTATCATTATGCCTTATTTTCTTTTTTAGTTTTATCTTAATGTTTCTTGACATCTGCCATGCAGAAAGCACAATAAAATTAAGAATCCTTCTGAAAAACAATTACAGGAGTTGTAATGCAAAATGTACCAAAGCACCAGTCCCAGTGTTAAGATGTTGCA